ATTTTGATTATTTTGGTCTGTCATTTCTATAATTTCTTTAGATTTTTAAAAATTTATAATTTTTTTGGTTTTTCTGATTTTTCTAATAGTTCTTTCCAATTTAGATTCTTAGGGCACTAGTCCTTCAGAACCTGAACTACACATACACTAACTTATAATAAAATAAAATAAAATAAACAAAACAAAATAAGCTAAGATAAGATAACTTAAAGTTTAAAGAAGACTCTCGAGAAAGGAAATAACGTAAGTCTTATGGCATCATCTCAAGCACCATCGCATTTAAATGTAGCACACAATTCTAGAAAATTGGTAGGGTGTAAATTTGGATCTTCAGTTGGTGATCCCCCAAACTGATTATTTGATATCATTTGGATAATAGCAAGTTTAAGCTCAAATGAATTAGCCACTACAGTAGGTTTTTGAATACTATATTGAAGTTCATCTACAGTAGGGTTGGCATAATCTCTTAAAGGTCTAAACTCTTAATGAATTTCAGCATTTTGATTATTTTGGTCTGTCATTTCTATAATTTCTTTAGATTTTTAAAAATTTATAATTTTTTTGGTTTTTCTGATTTTTCTAATAGTTCTTTCCAATTTAGATTCTTAGGGCACTAGTCCTTCAGAACCTGAACTACACATACACTAACTTATAATAAAATAAAATAAAATAAACAAAACAAAATAAGCTAAGATAAGATAACTTAAAGTTTAAAGAAGACTCTCTAAAAATAGAAATTTTGCTTTTGATTCCCCAGCAACGGCGTCAAAAACTTGATCCTGATATTCTTTTTTATATGTAGAATTTAAGAAGTTGACACCACTACTTGAAGATTTTAATCCCCGAAAACAGCTCCAAAAACTTGATCCCACTTAATACTTCTATTATGCAAAGTACAATAATAATTCATATTGTATTTCACTTATATTTCCTTATTTTACAACAAAACCAAAAACTTGATCCTGAAGAAGAATAAGAATTTCACATTTAATTTATATATATTGGGATACCACACAAGTATACATATCGTTATCAAGTAAAATAGGATTTTTTGATTAAGACCTGAATATCAAACCCACATGCAATTTATACAATTATGTAATATGCTGCACTTTTAGAAAACTTGCTATTTTTAAAAAGACATTTACTTAAACTTAATATATTTTGCAGTAATTAAAATTCAAATATTTTTGGTATTTTTGATATTTTGACAAAATAATAACAACTTAAAAAGATAACTAGAGTTTTGTAGATGAAAGCACTTAATAAGAAAAATATCTTTCTTCTTACCTTGAATCAGTAATAAGTATAGGAATTATGTTGTGGAAGTATGCAAATTGTGTTGTGTCAAATAGGAGCAATAATATTCTTTACCCTTACTGGAGTTGCTATAAAGAACATTGGCTAATTTAAAGTTTGAATAGTTCTAAAGACTGGCTAGGCAGGGAAGATACTAGCTCTCACTCTAGAGCTCCCTTGATTCCCTCCACCTGGGGGCTAACATCTCGTATCAGAACCTAAAATAGAGTTGGAGGCTTTAACTTTTAACCTGTCACTTTAAAGTCCTCTAACTCTACACCCTTCAATGAATATTTTCCTATTTATTTGCACTCAATCATATGAACTACATTCTCATTCATACAACCTCATGTGATTCTTTCCAATTGTTGACTGAGAGAATACCAGCCTAGTTTTTACATGTTCTCACAACAAATTTTAATATCTGGATTAACCAAATCAAGAAGTAAATTAAGTGCGTGAATTTTAATCATCACAACTTCTTCTAACATTAAAGATCAATACTCTCCACAATTTCCATCCACAACGTAATTACTTATCACTTTAAGAAGAAAGATAAAGAAAACTACTCAGAATCTATGGAGAAAATAAAACCACACTTTAGTTTAAAAGAAGAAATTAGTGTCAAACCAACAACAAGTCTCAACTAAAACCAAAAGTAGTCTGAAAACAAAAAAGAAAACTTATCTCAAGTTTTATCTCAAGTTCTCCACCAAACTCTTAAAATTCCTTTGAATCTCTTCTCTTTACAACCACTCAAAATAAAGTAACAAAAAAAATAAAATAAAAGTAAAAGTGGTGCCTGAAAATCTCTCCGAACTAACTCCCCAAATTGATGAACTTTCAAAACTTTCCAAGTATTTTCAGGACTCTTTTCAAAGTCCTCTCTTCTTTCTTTTATAGTTTTCCAAGAGGTGCCTTGGAAACTCTTCAAAATATGTTTAGATTCGATGTATTTCCCCAAGAGATACATTCTTTCGTGATAATTTTCGTCCATGGTAGTTATAACCACATATTAAGCTAATGGGTGCCTCAAAAATCTCTTCAAAATTTAAAAAAACAGACTTTACTCGTCTAGTAACTACCATTGATGCTTAAGTGCGGGACCTCTGGCGCTTAAGTGATGCCTTCTCTGTTTAACCGGCTCTTAAGCGCCGGATCTAGCGCTTAGGCGCCAAAACTCTTTTACATGTTTTTCACATTTTTTCTCCAAATTTGATCTTTTTTCACTCCTTTAAGCATTTTTCACACATTTTACTTGTATCTACAAGAAAAATACAAAAATACCTTCCATTAAAGTGCAATATCTCAAAAATAGGTATAAAAATGTGTCTAAAAATGCTATATATTTTAGGTATATCACCTTGTATAAATCCAAATCGATTATGATAAATCTTTGTATCTCATTTTAAACATATGTCCAATTAAAGTATATCATATCAACTTAATTCCTATATAATTCGTACACTCTTATGCATTCCCTTTATTCTTAACAATGGGAACCAAGATACTCTTCCTCCACTTCTCAGGCATCTTTTTAGTTTATAAATTAATATGAAAGAGTTTAGTATGACAAGAAATTCCCAAATCTCTTAAATTTTTTCCACTCTTTAATTAGGATATTATTAGGTCCTACTGATTTTCTATCATTGTTTTTCTTTAAAGCTTCCTCAAATTCTTTTTTTACTAATGTAACAATAAAAATAAAATATTTTATTATTATTAACAGTTGAAAAATCATTGAGGTCTATCATATATTTAGACACTTCATTGAAAAGTTTATCAAAATTTCTCACCCACCTATATTGAATATCTTCCTCTAAAAAAAGGTACTTTTGATTCTCATCTTTAATACACTTTACTGGAATTAAATCTTTACTTTTCTTTTCATTATATATATATATATGCCTTCTAATTTATTATAAACATCATTAAAAGAAGAATTTTTAGTGTTCAAATTATTCTCTTAGACTCCTATGAGCCACCTTATATTTTTCTCAATTCTCTAAGCTTTTACATTTAAGTCAATTTTTATAACACAACCTCTTATATTTTATCTATTTTCGTACATTATTATTTCACCACCAACTATTTTTATTTATAAAAGCTTTTTCTTTTGATTCTCTAAGTACATCTTTTGTGACTTGTTTAATAGTGCTTGTCACTTTATCCCATATATAATTCACTTCTTCATACATCTCTTCATCTTAAAATCCAAACTAATAATTGATATTGAGTACTTAAATTTCACCTAAATTACCTTACAATCTTTACACTCTGGATAATCTCTTTTTCAAATAAGAAAATATTCAATTTGTGTTTTCTTAGATCCATTCTTGTGAGTAATAGCATGTTCATCTTTTTTTTTTATAAATAAATTATTAGCAATAACAAAGTCGTAGGCTATAGAATAATCTAATATGGTTCAACCTTTTTTATTAATCACTCCAAAACCATAACAACCATCACTATTTCTAAAATCTTCCATCACTCTACTAGTCTGTCCATCTAAATCTCCTCCAATAAAAATTCTTTGTTCAAGATGTATCGTTTGTATTAATTCTTGTAGGTCCTTCTAGAATTTTTCTTTTGAACTTATTTCAAAAGCTACTTTAGAAGCTTAAGCACTTATAACATTAAAAATCTTAATATAAATAAAAAATTATTAGAGCTATAACTCTATCAATTCTATTATATTTTACAATATTATCTTTTAAACTCTTATCTATAATTATATATATATCATTTCTAATGTGACTTTTACGTGAATACCCTTGTTTAAAATCAAAGATATCAATATCCTGTCTTTTCTTCAACCCATTTAATTTCATGAATAAATAATATATTATTTCCTTATGAACCATAATAGAAACTAATTCCATTAATTTAACTGTGAAAGTTTCTATATTCCAAGTTCATTTCCTGTATTAGCTTCATTGACTAACTTTTTTACCCTCATTCATCCATAATATGAGAACTCTTGCTTATTTGACATTACACTTGAGCTGTGTAGCGGCCCTTGCTCACATTTCATTGTATTCAAAGTCATACAACGCATCGCTTCCATGGGACGCCCAAACATTTACAAAAGGATTTAAAATATTCATGTTATGAATTTTCGATAAATTTTACACTAGCTATCGACTACTTAATGCAACACCTCACTTTTCGCAACCGAGGCTTGTGATCAAAAACAAAAATGTGTACTCAAGAAAAGACTTTTTTATTCAAAAATGTTTGTGCCAAAACAAAAATGTGTACTCAATCAATGCAGACTATACTGATAGGATCAAACATCAGCATAAAATAAAGACACTAATTTTTTTCTATCGGTGCATTTGTTAGTGGCATAATGATTAAGAGTATAATCACTCATTCTAAGATCATGATTTTGAATGGTTCATATTAGCCTTGGACCCATATTAAAAAAGAAACTTCTTTTACGTGACTCATTGCCACAAGCAAGCTGAGAGTATTAAACAATCTAAGATCCGACCAGCTACGGACCGAGACCAAAGATCAGGATGGGGCCCACAAAGATCTAACCCGGAGCGGGCATGGGATCAGGCCCAAAACCTGAACCCGGAAGTGAAAGGGTAATCTCGTAATTATATTTCAAAGAAACTTCTCCGCCTTTCTTTAATCGCTAGAGAATCCAAGGTTGGGTCACATGACTGTTCTATCGGTCCTTCACCATCCAACCTTGGACACATTTCCATCGATTTGAACATCCGTCTCGGTCCTGCGTCAGAACCCGCTCTGTTTTAAGGTTTCCCCTCCTCTCTCTCTCTAAGCCAATCAGTCTCTCTCTAGAATTCTCAACTCTTTCACCGCCCCACAAGACGACGACAGGGCCAAAAGGTGAAAAAAGCAAAGAGAAATGGGGAGTCTTCTTGGGGTAATGAGGAGGGAGGGCCCCCTCAGTCTTCATATATCGCTTTCTCATCCTATAAATAGCAAAGCAGGAGCCACTTCCCACTCCCAGCCGGAAGTTACCTCAGACTTTTTGCTTCTTTTTCTCCTCTCCGCCTCCATCGATCACCGGTTTTTACAGGAAGAGGGAGAGATGGGAAGAGGGAGAGTGGAGCTGAAGCGGATCGAGAACAAGATCAACCGCCAAGTAACCTTCGCCAAGCGCAGGAACGGCCTCCTAAAGAAGGCCTATGAGCTCTCTGTCCTCTGCGAAGCAGAAGTCGCCCTCATCATCTTCTCCAACCGCGGAAAGCTTTATGAGTTTTGCAGCAGCTCTAGGTATATGATTCCTATCTCTTTTGCTTTTATTATTACTTTCCCGTTAAATTGCTATGTTGCCGTTTTGGTGAAACAAAGAAAGAAGAGAGTAGATCTGCTGAGAAAAAGAAACCGATGGCATTTGGAACTGGGTTCTACTTTAGGCTCGCCCAATTCCTTACTTGTTTTTGAGCTTTTATACGCCGTTTGTTTTAGGCTTATTATACGCCTTTTGCTTTAGGGTTATTGAACTGGGCGATCTTAGCTCTGTCACTGCTTTGGACTTCGGCGTATAGGGTTGTGGCTTTGTGGAAAAAAAGTTAACGCCTGTTCTGCTATTGTAGATTGTCAAAAATAGAGCCGGATAATACTAGGTGAAAGCCTTTTGTCTTTCTGGTTTCTTCTTCTTTGGGAGTTAGACCGAAGGTCTTTCATGGCCTGTTTCCCGATATTTTAGTTTTAGTTGTTTCTTTCTAAAGCTAAGAACTTAGTCCATTTTTTCCTTTCTTCTTCATCTTCTTCTATTTTATTTATTATTTTATTTTTTGCTTCTTTTCCTTTTTACTCCTGGACACCTTAGTTCGATTAACATTAGATAATACATGACACAAAACTCCAATGCTGACGTTGATGTAGTTTGCTTCCCCTCCAAACATAGCATTAAATAAATTATAACGTTTTAGATTCTCCGCTTTCCGAAAATTAAGATTTTTTTTTTTTAAGGATTTTTTCCTTTCGATGACATTCTCAACATTAATAATTATTTTTATCATAGAAAGGTATTTTTGACATTTTAATTTCGTCAGCTCAACGAAGGGAATTTTCTTCTCCCTTACATTTAAATTTCTCCCAAGATGCAGCGTTTAGTTTCTTGGGCTTCGCGTTACTCACATTTCGTGCGCACTTAGGTCGACGGACGTAATGACTAACTGGTGTAGAAAAGCATAACCAAGGTAAATTTCTGCATGGTTTCTCTGATGTTCGGCAGCTTTTTGGAGTCGCGTCTAGTAAATGTGATTCCTAGTATCGCCGTTCGTCTTTTTCATACCCCAAAAATAAGGTCCAGTTGTTAATTGTACAAAAATAAACCTCGGAAGTTGAAACCTCTAATTTTCTCCCGCAGTGCAGGAATCTGATCTAGCCTTGCATTTGTCCATCAGTCGCTAGAGCGCTTCACAGTATTTTAGGTGGCATTTTAATGGAATCCGATTCTCTTTAATCGTCATGCTATCCCAATTTTGCTATTTTTAATTTTAAATGATTTGAACACTTTAAAATAAAACGATTTCAAAATTAATAATAAAAGAAGTTTCTCTTAAGAGATTCTTTGTTTGCGTTTTTGTTTCGCTGCATCGAGGTCATCAAATACTTTAATTTTCGAGCGCCATTGAGAGCGAATACAATATTCCACAATTTAAAAAAGCAATTGAACGAAAAAAATGTAGAGAGAGACTCCAACAATTATATGTTACAATTTGAACTAAACTTAAGCCTAGTGGAGAGTTTAGATAATTCTATACACCAAAAATATATAGAAATCACAGGGATGATTCTCAACAAAAATGCCCTTCTTACTTCTTCCCGCATCACATGTGCGTCCACTCTCCACAAAAAAAGATGCCCAAGCGATCTATCAAATTAGATGATCTTACACCCAATTGTTAAAAATTTTGTATAATAAATCAATTCAAAAGCGACACATCTCCAAACAACAAACATCCTTTTATGCATACGAGGAAAACATCACTGAATGCTATTCAATTTGCACAAGATCCTTGATCGATAGCCCTCAATGAAAATCATATTTTGATAGAATTTATAGCAATGATATTTTAAACCTACATTTATTCATAATTTATAAATAATCCATGGTAAATTGCGACATGGACATCTGTTTATGAACTTATGTGATGGATTATCAGAACCTAATGATAGATCCTTATGTCACCAAAATTATAGTAAAGAATTTTTGTCTGAAGTTTTTTTATTGCTTTCTTGTTGGAATTGAGTTTATAATCGATCTTCCAACAGAAAAATGGTGAATTTTTCGTCACCAAAAGTTAATTGATAGAAAATTCATCAAACTTGCTTTATCTTTAATTCAATTTTAATGTGAACTGCATTCCTTATTATGAATTTTCATTCATAAAAATTATTTTAGAACAAAAATATAAAACAATATGATGGATAATTCATCACAACTTTTTATTCTAGTGATTTTATAAAATGGCTGAACAATTAATGAAAAATTTATCAAAAAATGTTTAAAATTTTCTCAAACTATTTCAATCACATGTAAAAATTTTCTCAATTTTTTTATTCTACTTTATAAAAAAATTATAAAAATAACAACCATTGTAGACTATAAACATACACCGAAGCCTTAAATACTCAATTTAGAGAAAAAGCCTAATAATTAGAGATTTCTTTCAAAAGTCTTAATTTTTTTTTTGCCGAAAACTAGATTTTTTAAGATTCCTTGACACAAATTCACAACTAGAAAATATTTTTGAGAACCTAATTTTTTAATAAACAAGTTTTAGGTAGATTTTAGATGGATTTGATCACAAATATTTATCATTTTTCATATAGCTATAAATTCACTCTCTGGTATCATTCCCCAAGGGTTCCATATAATCATTGTTTACCAACAAATTTATCACTAGTTGACCAATTTAATAGTAAAAATTCATCAATAAATTGTTATTACTTTTTATTGTATACCTTTTTCTAATAACTGAATCATCGGCACTCTATCCAAAAAACATGATAAATCATATACAATATTTAATAAAGTAAAATAATAGCATGTAATTAATTAAAATAGCATATATTAAATTTTAATTATAAATAATAATTTGTAAAAATAAATTTTAATTTTATTATAAACTTGCACATTTTATTTCTTCGTACCTTATATTTATCATATCCTTCATTTCTCTCTCCACTTCCCTCTACTCCGTCACATATTCCTTATCCTCATGCTCTTGGTCTTCTATTAGGTCATATTGTTAATTAACATAGTATTAAACTACGACATCAACATGTGCTTATTATCCACATTCATACAAGATTATAAGTTTTTAATCATAGTAACTATTTATCCATTTCTTTCTTGCCATTATCAATATACACTAAATAAAAGTTATAGGAGGATGGGGCGTTATATAATATGAATTATGATTGTAAATTACAAGTTCTCCTAATCTTAACCATCATAACCATGTCTCCATAATTTATAATTTAATTTTTGAGATGTTCTGCTTGAGCATCCTTCAGATGAGTATATATGTGGAGTTACATTTTGATAGTCTCATGTAGTATTTATTTAATAAAAATATTGATAAATTAATTAAAAACAAAAGTATAAATAATTCCAATTTAAATATTCACGTATTTTTCTTATCATATAGTGTGTGAAACAAAGGCACAATTCGGGAGAGTGATGCATGTACCTCCATATTAAAATAATGATTTAATATTTATTCTACTCAGCCTTCTTCACATAGATTAGGCGTCTTCATACGATGTGGTAGCTAACTCACACAATCTCCCCAATCTACTTATGCCACACAGATGGGTTATGCTGCATCACCCAAGTTCTTTTTTAACTAATTATAATGCTAGGGAAGCTTATAAGAGAGCTTTAAGAATTTAAAAATAATTTTTTATCTAAAAGTTATAAGTTTTTAGAGAAAAATAAAAAAATCTATTAATTTAAATGCGTAAAAATCATATAGCATCAACTAGTTAAAATATTCTATGTTATCATAGTATGATATCTCCAACCTTATTTCTTTTTTGTAAGAGTGAATCTCACCTGCATAAATGACTTTAATAAAGTAAGAAATCTACAAAGAAAACCATACTTATGAAGGAAATGCATTAAAATTTTACGCATCCCCGTCAAGCTTAATAAATGAGATGTACTTATGTATGCTGGCATAAGAGAGGATATAAATAAAGGAAAATTAATTAAAAATAATATAAACCACTATTATATTAAAATATACACCTAATTTCAACATACGAGGATGAAAAAAGAAAAGCCACAAAGCTAACTTCAAAGAAATAGAAATCAAGCCAATTTCAAAATATAAAAAAATTTTAATTAATTTAATTTATTCTAATATTATATTATATGCAATTTATTGACCTTTATATATATCTATATATTGGATATATTTATATATATACTAAGAAGGATTAATTAAAGGTGACCTATATTATGATAGAATCCTTCATATATCATTTTTAATTTGATAATTATAGAAGATAACTCTTAAATTTTCATACATGCATTTTGATGGACTATTAAACCTTCATTCAAATATGCTGACTCTTTAATTTATTAGTGGGTTAGACTGCGTTGTATATATATAAGTTATTTGCTTAGTGAAAAGTTGTAGAGTTTTTTCTCTTTAAATTCTACATGGTATCAGATAAAGGGAAATAATTATCTTACCTCTCCTTCCTCCTTGCACTCACTCTTGTAGGCCCTCCACTGGAAAAAGTGTATGTGGAGCTAGCTCCCAGATTAAAGAAAAACACAAATAATCAACTAATGTACAATCTAAATAAATTATTATATGGGTTGAAATAATCTTCTAGAGCATGTCATGAAAGGTATTATCAGTGTCAGTCTGATCATACTTTATTTGTGATATCAAAGTAAGAAGGTATGATAACCTTTCTTGTTATATATAGATGATAGTATTATTACAAGAAATGATTTATAAAAACTTGAAAAAATAAAATGAATAATGGCTTCTAAGTTTGAGATAAAAAGTCCTAGAACTTTAAGATACTTCCTAAGAATGGAAATAGCAAGATCCAAAGAATGCATTGTCATATGCCGGAAAAAAAATATATCCTTGACCTATTAAAGGTGAAATACATATTGGGATGCAAACTACTAGATACTCCTATTTATTCTAATCGATGTTCATCAAAAGTGAGGATATCACCCCAATTGAGAAAAGGATGTATCAAAGACTTGTAGAGAAACTGATTTATTTATC